CGCACCGTCGTCGACCATGAGTCTCAGGACTTGATCGGGTCACTTCCCATCAATCAGTTTTCTTATTCGCAAAAGCCAACTGGCGCTTCACCACACGGGTGCTGCCTAAGTATGTGCTGCATAAGGTTAGTAAACCCGTTGCGGTTGGTTTGCTTGTGGGCCATGCCGCAACGACACCGGAAGTACTCGAAAACCTCCTCGTCGTACTCGTTGCGGCACGGTCGAAAGTAGAAGCCCGAGATTTGAGCGATGGTGAAGGCACTGGCGGGTCGGTTGGCGCGAACCATGGTCGTTGAGAGAGCGGCTGATGGAAGGTGCGTTGTATCAATGGAAATTGAAAGTAGTTGACAAAGTGGAGAGTTTAGGAGCCGGTTGGTGGTCCGAGAATGACTGGCTGCTGTGAAAATTACTATATAAAAGTACCCTAATAAATGATGATATTATACTAATTGCAAAAAATCAATTATCACATGATCAAGTCAAGATCCTCAAAATACATAATTTACTAAGTATTGTGGTAAATAATGTTATGGCAAATGTATATTTCGGAGGCCCTGTGTGCATGCAGCGATTGAGAGTTCGTGATCGGATGGACATCGAGGAATTCGTTCGCAACCCAAGTGAGCAGGATACAGAAATGGAGACAATCTTGACGGAGGCCTTATTGGACAAATCATCGGACGTTTTATTCATTCAGATGTCGTCTGGTGGGTAGCGCGATCCCGACAATGGTATTGAAGAGAATACAGAGCAGCCTTCCTACGAGGAAAACACTCAACAGAAAGATGTACGCAGTTCGCAGTGTTATCTTTATGCTTACTGACCATCCAGACTTGGAGGATAAGCTTCTGAAAGACCTTCGTCTCCTCCAGAGCAGGATCCGCGACCAAGTAAGATTGGAAAGGAGACATTCATGACCCAGACTTCTATCACTATTTTTTTTTTTAAATGATAAGGAGCTCTTGATGCATTTTTAACACCAATAATATTTTAGTATCAGATTTTGAAAAAATCGTATCAAGTATAACGTTTGACAGGATTATCCTTTATTATGATTTGACTGGGAACCGAGTCGGTGACCCGGTCCGTATCATATCTAACAGGATATCAGTGATGAGAGGTATCAATAGGACAGGATTTACTGTATCTGCTCGTTGTCCCAAGGACAGATTCATCATATGCCGGAGGTTATAAGCTATATCTTTACTGAGACACTTTTACTGCATGTCGGCGAACTACAGAGCAAAAACCGGGATCGATTAGATGAACGACGTGCAAAAATGAATGTGTCGTGCTGTTGTCTTACTCGTGTATTACATATTATTTGATTTTGTTCATCTCATCTCGAACAGCTTGAGACGGGCTCACATGTCATCCAGCAAGTTCGACAAGTCCACGCTTCTCGGTATCTCTATTACATGGCTCTGTTTAACACTCCAATGAGTCATTGAAGCTCCGTTTGTCATTGGTAATGACCTCACTTTGAAAATAACCTCAGCCCAACCAGCCTGTAAGGATGGATCAAGGACACTACGTGCAGGCGCCAGACGCCCATGAATCGGCAAAAGCACCATCTATCCCCTTTAGTCAACTCCCCAACCCGTTGGCGAAGGCCTCATTACCGTCGGTAGTGTTCGCCCAATGGATCCAGCCTATGATCTCACTGGGCTCTCGTCGAATTCTGGAGCTCGAAGACGTTTGGCCTCCTTGTCCAAGGGACGAGTCCGAGGCGCTGGAGAAACGTTTTAAGCGAGCCTATGACCCGAATCATAGGTTCATTTTCGGTATCTCACCGGTATTCATGGCCTACGTGAAGGTGTTTCGAGCGGACCTCGCAATCGTGCTCGCCGGGTGTGTCGTTTACGTGTTGGCCTTAGGGCTGCAAACGTACGTAACGAGAGCTCTGCTGGAATTCCTGAATGGAGAGGAGAACGTTTTCCACATTTCAAGTGGCTACTGGCTTATGGCCATGATGACCAGCAGTTCACTGGTCGCTGTGTGCGTGCTTAACTACCTCTTTTTCATCGATTCGCGCATTGGCTCCAATATGCGCACGTTGACAATGTCTCTGGTATACAACAAAGCACTGAAACTATCCA